TTTTTGTAAAACTATTCCAACTTTTAGCAGTCGAATCAAATCAGAAGTATGAAATATGTATGTACCTGCATGCATAAAGTATGTTTAAAATCATAGTTGGCATTGCTTCCAGGTCATTAACCACCTTGCCTATATTTATAATAACATGCTACCATAATACACTTACTATTTATGCATTATGCAGAAGGCTATCTGCATATATTCTGCGTGAATAAAACAGCTGGGTGACCTAGAACTGTACATTTGCCATAATATTTAATATACTGCGGATACTGTATCCCACCGTGCAGCTTTTTCTTGACTATTTATTTGGTCAGAAAAATACACAAAGCTGGAATAAATGTGAGTTTATTGTCTTAACATTTCATCTTTTATAATTTTAATCATAGTGTATTACATATTACAAATGTAAATGCATTTTTTTTGGTCTTGAGACTAAAGAGAGCTTAGCCTGCAACAAAAGATATAGGCCTCCAGCAGTCTGTTGTGTCTATGCTAGCTTCAGGCACACTGTAAAAAATGATTGTGATTTTAACAGTAAAAGACTGTAAAAATGCTACAGTAAAAACCTGTTAACTGGTTACTTAACAGTAAGTTTCCGTACTATATTCGGTGAATAAATGCAATTACATTTAATGTGATTTTACAGTAAAATACTGTTAAAAATAAGGTTTTTGGAAGTGAAAAAGAAAACGTCATTGTATAATTTACAGTGAAAAACCGTAAATTGACACTCCCAGAATTCCCTGCATGACATATTTGATGTGTTTTTGTTGAAATAACATGTTTTCTAGTGTACACTAGGGTTTAATCTTACATCTAATGTTGTTAAATTAATGTTATTGCATTATTTCAGTATCACGTGTGTCACCATGATGGTGTTTAGTGTTTGTGTGAATGACACTGTGTGCACCTTCTATATATAAGTATTGTCCTCCTCAGCTCGTAGAAAAGCTATCACGCGACTTTCTCATCGCCACCAGTTTTTGGTGGTTATCAGTGCATTACAATGGTTCAAAACAGATATTAACACTTCAATGTTTTGGTTTATTAACATTACATCAGTTAATGAAATACGGTATTTTATTGTGAATTTAAGTTAAGTCTGTAAGACCTAAAATGTTGCTGCCATAGTTTTTACGGTGAAGCTCTGGCAACCACAGCTGCCGGTATTTTACTGTAAATGTCACAGATTTTTATTTTTTACAGTGTAGCTGTATTTACAAGCAGACATCCTGACACTATAGCGGACAACAAATAGACAACATGGACGTCTGCCGAATGGGCCGCATGGCTGGATCAGCAACTCAAGGAATGTGTGTGTGTACAGAACAGATTTTGGCAGGAAACAAACTGCAGGTGCATGTTCTCTCCACGTGCCTATGCGTTCAGACAGACAGATCACAAGACGCAGGAAAAAAAGCCATAGAATCCAGACAGACTTGCACTAAACCACTGATCTTAACTCTCAACCTCCTACAATGACATCAGTCTCAAACGGCTCATGGTATCTTTTACACGGTGCTTTCCTGAAAACAACTGTAAGATCTTTCCTGGAAGCGTTACGGAATGGGGTCAGAAAATGCAGTGCTAGGCTAATGTTAGCTCAAAACACATCAGTTTGTAGGTGACTAACAAACAGAGGAAAATTGTATTGCTCGACGGTTGCTCATAACTGAATGGGGTTTCATTTAAGTGCCAACTTTGTGTCTGCCAGCACTGATGTCTCTCCTCTGGAGAAGTTCAAATGAATCGACACAAATGAATTATTGACAGAGAATAACACTCTGAAATGAATGTGGATATCGTAACTCTGGTCTTAAAAGAATCTGATGAGAAATGTTTGAGCTCAATCTGAAACGTGAACGTTGGTCTCTTGGCAAGGTTTGAGCCATCGTTGAGATCTCATGTGAAAAAAATGAAAATTGCTTTTTGAAAAAAGCCATCTCAGTATTTTCTCATTGCTGTGGGAGTACCACTTGAGATATTAAAGAGATCTCATTCGTGATTTTTCTTTCCTACAGGGTGTCCTGCTTTTTTAAAAGGCCCCA